ATCCTCGATGGCGTGCACTGTATGAAGTCTGTAAACGAGCTGGCGTCTCTGTATCCCAACGCATCTTCCCCGGGGCCACAGACGCTAGATTCGTCCGCCAGTATCATCTGATGCCCAATGCTCGACCAAACAGCAAGCCCATCGAGGCTATTGGGTTCTCACCGATGCGACACACCCCGGTCCTATTGCATGATCATGATGAGCGTTTGTCTGTGGACCAGTTCTTACTCGGCTGTTACGTCTACACCGATCTGGTGTATGAGCTTGGTCAAATGTGATCCGGCCGTGCTTGACGACAATCGAATCTCATCTGCCAATCTGGTCCTTTTCGATTTTAGCATAATTACTCAATCGCGCTACCCGTTACCGCTTATTCCTTCTTTTCTTGACTATCGCCAGATTATTGCGTTTCTATCGTGTGCTTTTCTAGTTACCCAAATCATTAAAAATGTGGAGCCCTGCTCAGGGAATTTGTTCCGTGACTCATCGTGCTCACACACACACGGGCTCCGATCCACTTTTTTATTTTCTCTCTTTCATTCCTCAAGGGCGTATCTGTTTTCTCGCTCGTTGATTTGCGACACACATAAGACGAGTGAAGGAAAATGTCCGTATGAAATGCGCAGGTCTCCCTTCTTGTTTTCGAATCAATTCACGTGCCCCACAATTGCACTGGACAATGGTGCTCAAGATTTTCAATAGTCTCTCTTTATTTCGTCTGTCCTCAGCCCTCACAACACAATCTTGGCCTTTTCATGTTTCAAATAAACTCGACAAATGGCTGAAATGAGAACTATCTGCCTACATTCGCGGTTCTCTAGGTATTGATTAACCATTTGTGATTCTTCTGCATTGCTCACAATTTTCTACCTACCTGAGTTACCTAATATCCTCACTCGATTTGACCATGGCAAGCATAATTCAAACAGGTTTGGCATCAGACATGTTCTCCAGTAGATGTTTTCTTAGCAAATTCCATGACTGACCGCACATGATGACAGTGGTTTGTGGATAGTTGTGAACTAGTCGCATTCATCCTCAACATAGATGTGAACACATCCGCATTGTGGATAACTCAAAATAACATTGATGTAACCAAAATCACAAACGCTAAGACGACTACTCTTCTTTCTAACTGATAGATGCAAGCTGGACTGTGGGACGAAAGGCGCATCCACGATGAGTATCTGCAGGTGTGACTAGTTTTCAGATACCGGCAAGATGAAAATGTTTCAGCGAATTGCGGATTAAGGGGAAGTGGCGGTGTATTCATCCTGGATACCCCCGGATTAAGCAAGGCTGAATGCTACCAGGCGCGTCCCCGGGTTGTGGTTAGGGGGATACCTTCACCGAAGAAGGTTAGCTATGAATAAGTTGTAGCATACCGCAACAAATAAGCAGTCGCGAACAAACAGCGGCGGCACTACCAGGGTGTGGTGGGTTTCAGGCTAGTCACCTGGTTCCTGTTTAAAAGCCGCATTAGCCCAATGACGGTGTCGTGACAAAGGTCGCAGCCTTTTAAAACTGAAGTCATTGATCCCTCACTTGCGAGGCGAGGGATTAATTCCTACTGCCTTGCAGTTCTCACTTGGTTGTACAAAGGCTACAGGTGCGCCCTCAAAATAAAAAAAATACCGAGTGACGCTGGGGACATCTCTCCTACGAAACTCTCAATTAACTTCATGATCATGTCTGGAGCGGTTTATCCTTTCTATGGAGCCAGTCGCAGTAAAGTAAAGTAAGAAGGTATTCACAGTCAGGACGCGGAGAGTTGGATTGACGCGTGACACACCGTATATTTAATAATCTGTGCAGCATGCACAGTTTTATTGACAGCAACTGTAAGGAACTAATCATTACTCGGTAAAAAAAACTGCAATTTGAAATTCATGATTTAAGAATAACAAATGCTGTTACTCGTTTTCTTAAATGTCAGATCCACAGATTGCATCGTTTATCAAAATGTTGAGTACTGTCACCTTT